GTTGTTTTTTTTTCGTTGTAATTAATTGATTAACGACAATAATCAACTTAGACATTCGATAAATTCGATCGAAAATTTTACACAACGACAACAAAAAAAAATTCAATGTGATGAAAGAGTGGAAAAAAAAAAAATCCGATTTGCTGATTCTAATAGTAATTCTATTGACAAGATTCATTCATGTGTGTCAAAGGTGAAAAAGCTTTGCGTGTGTGTGTGATTGATTCTCATCGTCATCAGCATTATTATTATTAAGCTTGAAATTATTAGTTGTAAAATGACAACCAGAAAAAAAATGACAACATTCATAAATTGATGATGATGATGATGATGATGAAGATGAACAGAATAAAATCAGAAAAAGTGAGGGTGAAACTGAGAGTGAGAGTAAAAAAGTTTTTGACAATTCTCAAATGAAAAACTAGCAAAAAAAAGAAAGAAAAAAAGAATTGGTGAATGTGTAAAATAGACAGAGAATTCGTTTTTTTTTCATACTTAGATATCTGACGATGATTTTTTTTTTAGTTTCTCAATGATGATGATTAGGATACTGTGCATTTTTTTTTCTTGTTAAACATATGGATCAAGTCATTCGTTATTATTAACATTTACAGTCGATTAATTTTTCAAGTGTGTGTGTGTGTGTGTGTATTCTACATTCATTGTAAAACTTTTACCATTTTTTTTCGGGCAAAAAAAAATGAAACATATGTGTGTGTGTGTATATGTCGGTGTGGGTGTGGGTGGGTGTGTGTGTTAGCAAAATAACAAGAAAACAAAAAAAAAGTCCAAGTTTTTTTTTCAGTCCAACTATGGACAACTTTTATTTGGAACCGAGAATAAAATATAAAAAAAAAAATTGACCGGAGAAATACAACAGCGGCAGCAACGAATAATGTTTTCTCTCCATGTTTAACTTTATATTTCGCGTTCAAATATGATCATCATGATGATGATGATGATGAAGAAAAAGAAAAAAAATTTTTTTTTCTTTTCCAGAACATAACATGATTCAATGAATTTTTATTCAAAAAAAAAATCAAACTATTGAAAAAAAGGAAGAGAAAATAAAAAGGAAAGAAGAATAAACAAGTTTAGAATTTCTTTATGTCCATTTCTAAAACTTGAATTTGTTTGAATATAATTTTAAAAAAAAAAAAGAAAAGAAAATACCGTTATGGTCTACAATTGAGTTGTGTGTGTGTGTGTGTGTGTGTGAGTATGTTTTTTTTTGGTCATCATCGGTAGCTATTCAAACCTAATATTTAAATTGATACTGTGTGTGTGTGTGTGTTTTGGAAGCAGAAAAATTTTTTTTTCTGATGATGATGATGATGATGATTATCATCATCAACAACAACAACAACAACAACAAAACATAATAATGCTCTTGATGTTCAATTCGGTAATCATTGTCGTAGTAGTAGTTGTTGTTGCTTTATTTTTTTTTTTTTTTTTTGTTTCGTGTCGAAAAATAAACTGGACCAACATTAAAAAAAATGTTGTTTTTTTTCAAAGTTATCATTATCATCATGATGATGATGATAATGGTGAATATTTTTTTGCCATTGCCAATGCCGATAATAATAATGATAAACTTTCAAAGTAAAAATTGTGTGTGTGTGTGTGTGGGATGAAGTTTGTGTTTTTTTTTCGCTGGTAAAAAGAGATAGAGAGAGAGAATCATTCACAATTTTTTTTTGTCTCTGTTTAATATTCATTCATATATACACATGTAATGTCTGAATTTGGGAATTTTTTTTCTTCTTTGTTTGTTTGTACTATACATTGCTATAAATGAAAAGGTTTCAAATTCAATGACCAAAAAGGTCCAAAGTAATTTAATATGATTGGTCCCAAGAGAGTGAGAGAGAGCGGGAGAGCGTGACCGGATAATAAATGTTTTGAAATGGGTGCTAATTTTTTTTTTTTTTTTTTTTTTGGTAATTATAAATAAACAAATGTGATTTGAATTATGTGTGGCCAAATAACAACAATGACAACAACCAGTTGCTTTTCAAACTACTTATTTTCAGCATATGCTGTGTGTGTGTGTATGTCAACAACAACAACAACAAAAACAAAATGATGACCACCCATGTATATTTGAGTGAAAAAATTTTTTTTATTTTCACTTTTCACAAAAAAAAACAATTAAATTATTGACCAAATCCTATTAAACATACCATACCATTTTTTTTTTGTTTTGTTTTTGTTTTTGCTCAATGTTCACTCAGCGATAATAACACATTGTTTGACATTTGACCTGATAACAAAATTATTATTCATTATATTTTTTATCCACCATATCGAGAGAGAAAAAAAAGCAGAAGAAATAGAAAAAAAAATATTTGTCACATTCGTTTTTTTTTTTCGCTTATCTTTATCAGACACAAACACACACACACACACCCATCACACACACTTTGTGATTGATCTTTTTTTTTTTTTTTGGTTTTCATTTTTGTTTTCAGTCACAGTCAAAAGAAAAAATTTTTTTTTTTTTATTTAGGACCAAAGTTAATTTTGTTTACATTGTGTTTTTATGACATCGACATTGACAACAAGTTTTTTTTTTATTTTCAAATGTTCAATCGACCTTGTATGTTCAATCAGCCATTTGCCAACAAACCAACACCACCACCACCCCCATCAAACATATTTTATTCTTATAATAATAACTGAAGCCTAAAGGAAAAAGAATGAGAAAAAAAAATTCTGTATATGAACAACAACAACAACAATAAACAAAAAAACGATGATGATTGATCACCATTTTGTGGCTTAGTTTTTTTCTTCTTCTTTTGATCAATTTCTCTCTCTCTCTCTCTCTCTCTCTCTCTCTTGTGAATTTTTATGATTTGAATTGAATATATATGGCGATTATTATTCATTCATCATTCTGTTTTTTTTGTTGTTGTTGTTGTTCATTCCTTCATCTAGTTTACACTTGACTTATTGACTTGATCTATTGCTACATTGATCAAATTTTTCTATGCATTGATTTGTATATTTCCGAAATTCTTTATTTTATTTTTTTTTGTCAAAGTTTTTAAAGTTTTTTTTATTTATTCTAACAACAACAACAACAACAACAACAGAAAATAAAAATTCAAACAAGAAAAAACATGATTCAATGATTGACAAAAAAAAATTTTTTTTTCTTTTGGTTAAATCCATCATTCATTTGTTTGTTTTTTTTTTATTTGACAGATCGATCCACATAAACAACAACAACAACAACCATCAAGAAGAATGAATAACATCGAACAAATCCACAATAATCATTGTACATTGTTTCAAATCAAATAAATTTGAGTTTTTGGCTCCAATTCCTAAATACACTATATCAGAAAAATATCATCATCATCATCATCATCATCAATGACTGAATTGCGTGTTTGAAATTTTTTTTTTGTTTTTGTTTTTCTTCATTCTTGAAAAACAATCGATATACACACACACAGAATTTTTTTGGAACTTTAAACCATCATCATCATCATCATCATCATCATCAATGAATCATAATAATCATCTGTCGATGGAATAAATAAATACAAACAATTCTGGTTACAAAAATTCCAAATCGGATCATACATATGGACACATATATATATATATACAAAATATGGTTATTTTTTTTTCTTGTCATTCTCATTTGAAACTCACATGAGTATGGGTAAGTGCAAGTTCAATACATCCAGTATATCATCATCATTATATCATTATTATTGGAAATAAACAAAAATCGAATCAAATGTTTGATTGATTGAAAATCATAATGGTCAATTGGACTGATTAATTGACATTTCCTATTGAGAGAGATTAATTAATTTTTTTTCAATATTTTTCATTAATAGGAAAAAAACAGAATATGTATCAACCAAAAAATGAATTTCCGGCCAATCAAAATTGAATTAATTATTATTTTTATCATCATCATCATCATCATACACCAAAATCAATTTGATCAATTAATCAATCAATCAATTGAAATAAGTTAGTGAGAGAGAGAGAGAGAGAGAGAGAGAATTCATTTTTAATAAAATAACGAATGTGGAAATAAAAATCATCAAAAATGACAACGAGAATGATGTATCAAATAGTGAACAAACAACATATAACGATAGCATTATATTCTGATGAATTCTAAAAATTCTATTGGATCATCATCATCATCATCATCAATTGAACAAACGAAATGTGTTCATCATCATCAACGAACCGAACAACAACAACAACAACAACAAATACAATTAAAACAAAGGCAATTACTACGAACGAGAAGACGACGTCAACGACAACAACAACAAAAAGGCCATTATCAATCCTATCGATTGGCCAAAATGATTTATCTGTAATAATTCCCGTGCCATCATCATCATCATCATTCAACAATAATGATAATAATAACCGTTATCGATTATTCGATTTGTCATCATCATCATCATCATCATCATCCTCATCATCATCATCATTGTACATGGCCTTGATCATTATGATTGGCATTTTGACGCCATCATATTATACGCAAACAACAACAACAGCAACGTCAACGGCAGTGGCAACGACGACGACGACGAGGACGACGTTGTCAACATCGATCATACCAACGACAACAACAACAACAACAACAAAACAATAAATACAACAATATTGACTGCCAAAAATTTGATTCTAGACATTAATAATAAATTATCAACAATAAAACCGCCATCACCACCACCACCACCATTATTATTATTATTACCACAAAAACAAACACCCAAATCATCATTATCAATATCATCATCTGACAATCATTTGACATCTATCTTATCTACAACAATATCATCAACGAAATCTTCCACATTTAAATTCAATGATCAACAAAAACAACAACAAGTGATAGTAAAGCCTAATAATAATAATATTAATAATGAATATGATGATGATTTTAATATCGATCATTATAATAGTGATGATGATGATGATGGTGATGATAATTATGATGAAAATAATAATGATAATGAAGATAAACATAATTGGTGGTCATCAAAATGGCCATTATTATCATCAACGAATGTTGTACATTCATCATCAACAATGGATCGTAATAAAAGAAATAGTTTATTTGGTAGAAAACGAAGTAACATTATCAATGGTGGTTTTTTAGGCAAAAATATATTCAATAATAGTATATGGCAACATTATCTTGAACCGTGGACGGCTAATCCAAATTATTGGATTGCCGATCGATTTCATGATAATGCTGTATGTTTATTAGCGGCATTCGCCGGTACAATACATGTACGGCCAGCTAATTCAACATTTCATGGTGGTACATTTATTGTTTCACCTGAAGAATCACTTGGAAGACGTGCCAATTGTGAACGAAATTCTCGTAATATATTCTGGAAATTTTCTCAACATGATGAAAAAGAAATTGTATTTGAATCAGAAATTAATGATAAAAATGATGATGATAGCGATGTTGATGATGATGATGGTGCCGATATAATTGATGATGATTTTGCCGATGATGATGATAATGCAGATAATTTTATCAATCTGGCTAGCAGTAGTGCATCGGCCGAAGGTTTTGATGATAATCATGATAAACAACAGCAACAAAAGCCTCAATCATTATCAGTCGATCTAATAGGATCGGATTATATGGGCCAAGTGATTCGTAATGATAATGATAATGATGATGATGATGATGATGATGTTGATGTTGATGATGATAATTTGAAATCAAGTGATTTTAACATTAATGGTAGACAAACCAAACAGAATCTTCGATTATCATCAAAAACAATGTTACCATCATCATCATCGCCATTATTATCAGCATCAGCAACGGAAGCATTATCTAGCCGAACAATGATTGAACGTAGTAATCGATTATTGAGTGCCGGTTTTCATGTGGTTGGCTCTGTAATTGAATTTCATGTAGCTTATATTGAGTGCCTTCAAACCATTGATAAAGAATTGGTTAATAATAATCGATTTCAAATGCGAGATAATGATGTTTGTACCAATCTAAGTGTATCATTTGATCTTGGAACATTTGGTAATCCACAATCATATGAATGTAATCATATTTGGAGTAAGTGAATTCATTCAATCAATCAATCAATCAATCAATTTCCTTTCATTTATATATACAAAATTAATTGTTCATTTCATTCATTCATTAGGTAAAACACTTCGTGATGTACATTATAATCAGAATAAACGTCGTTATGCTGGTGAAGTACAAATCTCATTGAAATGGGTACGAATCGATAAAGATCCATTGGGTGTTGCACCATATTCATTTCGACGTGCACGTAGGAAATGTGTCTGGGACACTATTTTTGGTTGGCAATCATTGACCATAATGGGTTCATTATTAATATTCTTTATAATTGGATTTTTTGGCCTATGTGTCTGTTCGAATAGTTCATGTCATGATGATGAAACCGGTGAATGGACTAATAATTGGTGCTGTATGTTATGTTGTTGTTTCTCTTGTTGTCGTCGTAGATCATCAAGATTTCGTTCCGGTTCACTCAATACACAAAGAATTGTTCAATATGAACATACACCAAATACAACACGATTAGAATGTAATCATCATCAACATCATAGACATCATCATCATCATCATCATCATCGTGGACCGCCACCACCACCACCGCCGCCATCATCATCAACATCATTGTTGACCAATACATCATCACATCCAAATCATATAGGCTGTGGACAACGTAAACCTACATTTAGTAATAGCTATAGTTATGAAGGTACCGGAAGTAATCCAACACAACAATCATCATCATCAGCAATGTCTACGGCTATTGATGATTATTATTATTATAAAATGAAAAATAATAATGAAAATGCTTCCATTCATCGTTATAATAAACATGATGATCTTGTAGTGATTGCCGTCACTCCTACTACTACTACTAATGATGATTATAATGATGATAAATGGCAGATATTGATGAAAGAGCTTCCGTATCAACAGCAAGAAAAATTTTCAAATACAATTGGAATACTAGGTGAAAATGAAAATGAAATATTTCAATCAAAAATAAATCAATGTGATCATCATCAACAACAATGGCAAAATTGTTCAATTTTAATGGACAACAATTTGAATAGCCACCACAATGATTATAAACAAATGCCTTTATCAATACAATTATCAAAATTTAATTGTAACAATAATAAAAATGGTGATGGTGATAATAATGATGATGATCATGGTTATTATTATTATTATCATCATCATCATCAACAACAACAACAACAACAATCATCATCATCATCATCATCATCAATCAATATGAATGGGCAAAAATCCAATAAATCAATCATAACAGCTCAATGGTCAACATTATATTTATTTTTAATTGAATTTATGACAACAATACGTTGTATGATGTTGAATTTTTTACACCACAGAAGCCTATTAGATCGTTTATCTTTCATTAAATTGATTACAACATCAGCGGCAACAACAACAGCAAAAACAACAACAACAACAACAACAACGATGATGATGACTAGTACGAAAAATTCAACAACGATAAAAAATTCATTTCATTCAATAATGGCAACAATATCGGCTACAAAATTAAAACATGTGTCCAAATTTTCATCAATAATGGAATCAAATGATAATAATGATGTTGCACATTTTGATTCGATAAGAATTAGGAATTAAAAACAAACAAATAAATAAATAAATAAAAAAAATTGACCAATTACCATCATTATTTGATGTTAAATGATAAAAAAGAAAAAATTATCATCATCATCATCTATTTCACACTATTACATAATAACAAACACGCACACACACACACATCATGTGATGATGTGAGAGTAATGAGAAAAAATTTTTTTTTTTTGCTTTCTTACATCTCTCAAGTGAAAAGTTTTTCAGCTCTTATCCAATCAACCAGCCAACGAACGATGGAATTTTTTTTTTTTTTTTTTTTTTGATGGATCCAATTGACATTTGACTACGTTTGATTTTTTCTTTTTTTTCCCTCTTCTTCTTCTTCTTCACAAGCCGATTTGAACACCAACACTTTTTTTTCCCCATTTTCATCATTTGCCATCGATCATCATCGGTCGTCGAAGCAATAATTTCTCTCTCTCACGCTCTCTTTTTCGCTAACATAACATAAACATTGTCGATCCATATCCATGCCTGCCATGTTGTTCTTTTAATCTTTAATTTCATTAATTTTTTTTTCTCTTTTCTCAAAAAAAAAATGAAGAAAGATCAAATTCTTCAAATATGAATGTTTTTAATGAAAATTGAGAATTGAGATGCAGAAAAAAAAAAAAAAAAAATTTGAATTTTAAATTTTTTTTTGCTTCGACAAAATTTTTAATTATAATTCTAATCACGATGATGATAATGTTGTTGTTGTTGTTGTTGTTTTTTTTGTTTCTTTTTTCGGATGATGTAATCATGATATATGTATATATATAATTAAGATTTGAAATAATTTGAATCAATCAATCAATCAATATGAAATGTATATGAATATATACGATGATTTAATCACAGCGTTCTATTAATGATATTATTAATTATCAAATTTTTTTTTGTCTCTTCTTCTTCTTCTCCTGTCAATGTCATCGATTTTTTTTTTGTTTGTTTGTTGCTGCTGTTGTTGCTGTTGTTCATTGTTGAATTTACCTATTTCGAATTATCAATCGATCGATTATTTATGATTTTTATTTTGAATAATAATAATAATATTTGATGATGATGATTGTTGAACAAAATGAATAAAAATGATGATTGAATTTTATTCTGGAAATTCGAAAAATTCGCTTGAAAAATTCGTTTTTTCTTAAATATGTTGCAGCAGTACCGCCATCTGACGATCTAGATTAAAACAATTTGTGGACCCAGTAAATGAATAATTTTTTATTTTTTGCTCAATGTATTCAAATCATATGTGTTCACACAGCCGATATAAATTGATTGAATTTTTTGTTTATTTTTTTGTTTTGTTTTGTTTTGTTTTGTTTTGTTTTTTTTTTGTTGTAAAGATCAGAATGATTCGATCAAGAATTCCTTTTTTATTTGTTAAGAATTTATTTCGATCAAGAATTCCATCATCATCCATGATAATTCGATTTCAATCATCATCATCATCATCGTCGATCGATTTGAATTCAATGACTCAATCACTTAATTCATCATTATTAAGACGAGCAATACTTTATGTTCCCGGTAATGATCAACGTAAAATTGATAAGGCAATAAAATCATTTGATAAAATTGATTCCATCGTTTTGGATTGTGAAGATGGTGTTGCTGTGAAAAGTAAAGTATGTATTTTTTTATTTATCATTTTTATAACCGAACTATGAATGAATTAATAATAAATAAATCAAATTATTATTATTATCCAAAATACAGGATGATGCACGTAAAACAATATTGAAAATATTAAATCAACATGGATCAAATGAATTATTATGGAAAAAATTAAGTGTCCGTATCAATTCAATGGATTCCGGTATTGCCGTTGAAGATTTAGCCATAATATTTTCTGGTAAAATCATTCCAAGAACAATTCTATTGCCGAAAGTTGATACCAAATCCAATATTGATGAATTTTTTGAATATTTTCAAAAGGCCAAAATCAATAAAAACATCATAAAACATCCAATAGATTTAATTACATATGTTGAATCAGCCACGGGTTTATTGGATCTACGTGATATAGCTAAACATACGATCGATATGTGTAAATCATTGAACGATACAATAAATATTAATTTTGCCGGCATTGTATTTGGATCTGATGATTTTTGTGCCAATATCGGTGCAACACGTTCCGATGATGGTAAAGAAGTGTTAATGGCACGACAACATGTAATACTTGTATGTAAATCATTAAATCTACAAGCAATCGATTCGGTTTATATTAATTTCCGTGATATTGATGGATTAAAACGACAATCCGAAGATGGTGCATCAATGGGTTTCACCGGTAAACAAGCCATACATCCGGATCAAATATCTGTGATACAAGAAGCATATCGGCCATCGGATAATAAAATTGATTGGGCTAAAGGTTTGATTGATGAATTTGAACAAGCACAAAATGCCGGACGTGGTGCATTTGTATATCATGGTCAAATGATCGATATGCCATTATTGAAACAAGCTTATAATGTTATGAATATTGCTAAACAGATTGGTAAAGCTTGATTTGTATAATAATGAAATGAAAAAACATTTTTATTTTTGAATGATGAAAAAAATTTTTAAATTTTAAAATTAAAATCCATTACACATATTGATTGATTATATTATATATATAGATCAATTAAAAATTATGATTTTTTTTTTTTTTTTTTTTGTTCAATTGATTTCGATCCTTAAAATTGAATTGTAGTTGATATATTTGTCTGTGTGTGTGTGTGTGTGTGTGGGTGTCTGCATCAAAAAAAATTTTTTTTTTCATTTGTGCATCACACGATTCGCCTCCCTTCCTTTATATTCAATCACAGCTTTTTTTTATATATTTAACTAAAAAAAATTGATTAATTTTTGGTTATTATTGAATCATGATGAAGTGTGTGTGTGTGTGTGTGTGATGTGTGTGTGCGTATTTATGACCCAGCAACATGTGAATGAAAGGAAAAAAAATCGACAACAATCAATGTTCAATAATCATTATCATCATCATCATCATTCAGCTCAAATAATATATATCACATCATCATTCGATTTTTTTTGTCCACAATTTTCATCCGATGATATATTAAAATAAAATATATATTTGTGTGTTTTCAATAATTTTCAAATAAACTTTGATTTCGAGTAATAAACCAAAAAAAAAAAAAAAAAATAGACGATTGATCCCGCAATCGATTGATAGCTACTATTAATTAATCAATCAATCAATCAATTGATTCGATCAAAGGTCAATCGAATGATGATGATGATGATGATGATGATCAATTTTAATGATTCAATAGAGAGTTTAAATTCCAAACGGAAAAAAAATGAGAAAATAAAAAAAAACCCTAATTTCATTTGAATGAAAAATAAGGGAAAAAAAATTTTCACAAATCAAAAAAAAAACAAAACAAAACAAAACAAAAACGACAACAACAACAACAACAACAACAACAGCGAAGATATCAAGACCCCTAAAAGTTCAAAGTCTTGAGGCTATTTCTACGTTGTTGTCGTTGTTTATATTATTATTACTATTATTATTAAAATTATTTTCACACATATGAAAAAATTATGTATTCGAGATTATGATGATAAGAAAAACAAAACAAATCAAAAAAAAAAAAAATAGAAAGAAAAAATTATATGGTTAGTAGTATGTGGAAAAAAACCAGAAATGAATGAAACCGTTGGCGACAAACGGAAACAATCTTGATGTGAATGTTTATGTGAATATAAAAAAAGATTAGATTAGATATATTTATGATTCCTGAATAGTGAGGATAACAATAAATGGAAATTATCATAAAAAAAATGGAAACAGCAACAATAACTTGTTAATGGTAAAATCACAGGTAAAATTGATAGGAATCAATCTACCAAAAAACATTGGTTATTGTGTTTGTGTGTGTAGGTGTAGGTGTTAGGAAAAATGAATTTGAGCACACAGATTATTATTATTATCATTAAATGGTGAAATTTTTTTTTTTTTTGATGTCGTGGTGTTATCAGGTTATTATTGCCAAACATTTTCATTGGCAGTAGTTAATTATTAGAGAAAAATAAAAATGTTGAAAACGAGCACGCACACACACACACACACACACAATTGTCACATTCATCGATGTATGAGAATTTTTAAAAAAAAAACACTGATGAGAAAAAAATATTGTCTTGATTGATTTGAAAATTATCTAAATTTTTGAATTATTTTAAAAGTGGGTTTAAAAAGAAAAAAAAATTAGCTGTGATTTATGAATTAAAGGAAAGGAGGCAAACGCTAGCCGCCAAAAAATGCACAAATATACCATTGCAGTAGGCTTCAGCTAATACCTTCGCTTACAAATCGTGCATAGATAATGTCCAAATGTTCAGTTTGAGCCATTTGAAAATCACAACGACGATAATGGCCAATCGATACACATGATAATGCTTCATACATAACAAGTCCATGCATTTGCATTGTTTCAAATAGACAATGATTAGCTGATTTCATTTTTTGATGATCATTACAACGATATCCAATACCAATGCCAATACCATCATTGTTAGCCAATAAATCATTAAATGTTTGTTTTGATCGCAAATTATGGATACTAGGCACAAACAAATTGAGCATAAATTTTCCAGGTTTAAACACATCAATCACTTTAGCCATAAATGTTATATAGCTTTTTTGTGGTACATTCATTTCAACAGAAACATAGGAAAATTCCGGTTCTGGTGTAATGTGAATGGTCATATAATATTCCTATTTAGAATAGAAAAAAAAAAATGATGATCAAAACAAACAACTAATGTCAGAAACAAAAACCATACCGAAAGAAGACCATTCATTGAATAACCACATGGAGAGAAAAGATAATCATCGATAACCATACCAGGTATAATACTGTCTATTCCAGATTTTCTGGTCACCTGAGCTGCAGTGGTGGGCATGTCTGGATCATTGAAAAATAATCGCATAATATCTTCATCCAATTCTTCCATAATCATTTCAAATTTAAAAAATTCATTACGATTACGATTCATTAGCTGACTATTTGGTTGATCATCATTACAATCCAATTCGGGACTATAATCCAATAGATAAAGATACCAACGATCAGCATTAATATGGCCAAATAAATGTGAATGGCCATTGAATGCTTTATCTAAATATTCACTTTCTTTTAAGAATGAATTATGTGGCAATGTTTGCAATGATGGAAGCAATAGATTTTTATGCGAATAAAATACGTCCTATATTTATTGAATAAGAAAAAACAATAGAAATTTAGATCAAAAACAGATAATAATAACAATTAAAAATGTATGCAAATGTTATATATATATATAACAAACCTCAATGGTATCGAAACCAAGTTTAAAAACGTATTCCAAAATCAAATCCAAACAATGAAGCAAAGTAGTTGAGCCGCATGTTTTCAATATGAAGCTTCTTTTACTCACAAATAATGAGCTTTCGCTTAGCAAATAGGCATCAAAATGTTCATTGTTGATCACATTCAATATTCGACAATGAACTAGATCAAGTACATTTTTCCATTGAGATCTATCAATTTAATCAATCAATCAATCAATCAAGATGATTTTATATATGTGATAGATGGATTTTTTTTTGAAAAATTAGAAAGCCAATTAGAATTAGAAAAATGAAATTAATTAAAAGCAAATTAAAGCAATTGAATAATGAAAAACAATCACTTGCCTGGTTAATTTACGTAAATCAAGTATTTTATTCAATGGATCTTCTTTAAAATAGATTGCTAAACGTTTTTCAGCACCTTCAAAAAAATGACCACCATCTGTATCTGGTGTTGAAACATTCGAACCAACAACAGTTTGGCTGCCACAATTATCATTACCAACACCACCACCGCTGCCGCCGCCACCGCTGGCAACAACACCAGCAACATCGCCATCAATTGTAATTGTAACCAATTCATTTTGGATACCTTCAATGACGGAATTTTCACCCGAAGATGATGATGAAAATACAGCTTCTGATGATTGTGTGGAATCATCATGGAATGATCGACATGGTGATGATGAACCAATCGATAATTGATAGCTATCGTTATCCATTGTTTCATTCATATTATTTGGATGCATTATGGTCGTTTCTTCTTCTTATTATTACTATTTTACTATTATTATTATTTGCGTTTTTCTTTCTTAATTTTATCTGAATGAATTCAAGTATATTCAAGTTTAAAAAGGCGTCGTTATTATCAACAAACAATCAAAAAAATTGGAAAAGCTGTTGTTCTTGATGTGCAAATATTATCGCAATTTACTACCAAAACGATAAGGAAGTAGTAGAAGACAGCAAAAAGAAAAATATGACAATTCGTGCGTTGAATTGAATTGAGTGAATTGAGCCAAAAAAAATTAAATTTAAATTAAAATTATTATTTTTATCATAAATTAAAAGAATTTGTCATTAAAATTTTTTTCTTGTTGTTTTTTCTTAAACAAATAAATTCTGAATCGTAGAATAATAATAATTTGAAATTATAACAGCAACAAGTGAAATAAAAATTCTAGCTATGAATGCGAGAGAGAGAGAGAGAGAGAGAGACAAATCAAATTTAAATTGATTGAAGCAAGAAAAAAATGCAGAAAAGAATACTCACCTTTCAAAGATTTGCTTGATTTCATTGATAATTGAATTGAATTTTGAAATTAAACTTTGAAATTATATTCATATATAACAGAAGAAAAAAAACGAATATGACGAATGTTTTTTAATGATGAAAATTCTAGAAATCATTCAAAGAAACAAGAAGAAGAAATTAATATATTTTTCAAGCAGAAAAATTTGTATTTGACTACAAAAGCAACAAGTTGGTTACCAAAAAAAAAAAACTAAAAAGAAAAACTTTTGATTTTGTTGTTTATATGTTGTGTTTAGAACTTTATAAACAAGAAATAAAAATTGCAATGTTTGAATCTTTTATACTCTACATTATTATCATTATTGTGATGTTGTGTAGGGATCAAAAATCAATAAATGATAATAGAAAAAAAAAATTTTGATATTTCAGTTAAATGGCCGGCAAGTAATTCATTGAGTAAGCTTTGATCATTGAAAATCATCATGATGATAATGGTATTCGGGTGTGTGTGTGTGTGTGTGTGCGTTTATAGTAAAGATAAAAAGCAAAAAAAAAAATTTTTTGGTTCGAAACCTAAATCAAATGAAACGAGAGTCGATTATAATCGAGCAACTACTGTTCTCATCATCATGCAAAAAAAAAGAAAAAAAAATTTGGATAAGATCATACCACCAGCCAGTGTGTGTGTGTGTGTGTGAGTGAGAGAAAGGGAGAGGGAGATTGTTTTTTTTTTTTTTTTTTTTTTAGGAAATCATTCAGGCAGTCAACAAGTGATTCAAAACCATTATTATTCACACTTACAAGCAAGCAAGTTTGTCTTATTATAACCGACACAAGAATAAAACGATGATGATATGATGATGATGATGATGATGATGATGATGATGATGATGATGATGATGATGATGATGAAATGATCTTTGTATATTCAAGTCAAATGCATTTCTCTCTTTTTTTTAAACAAATCAAAGGTCATATTTATAAAGATGATGATAAAATGATGATCCTGTTGTTTGGGTTATTTTAATGTTTTCACATTTTAAATCAAAAAAAAAAAAAAAATGAAAAATGAAAACAAACATTTCAATATGATCGATAACGATATATGTGTGTGCGTGTGTTTGTAATTTTGATTAATTAATTAATCATGATCAAATTGACTCGCTTTATATACAAATCAAATGAAAATCAGCCAGAGAGAGAGAGAGAGAAATGAACAGTGAAATGTCAATCGTTTTGTCTACAATCGTTTTATTTTCATTTTTATTGTTTGTTTTTTTTTGCATTGTCAGATCAGATGTGTTGTTGTGATTTAATTTCCACATGTAATAATGAAAATTATTGTCAAAATGTTTATTCAAAATTCATCATCATCATCATCATCATTATTCATAATAAAAATTCATTGGAATCGGTTTTTTTTTCTTTCTCTTTCTGTTTGTTTGTTTGTTTGTTTGTTCCGTTTATATTATCATCATCCTCATCATCATTATTATTGTATTTGCATTCATACAATCTCAATTTCAATATAATCATCAATATTTTCATATATATATATATATAAAAATAATAAATGGATTAATGATTATTATTATTATTATTATTGATTTTTGAATGTGAAAAATGTAAACAAAGAAAAAACAACGGCCAAAAAATCATCATAAATCATAAATCATTAATCATAAATTCACTTACCAGATACTGGGAAATGGTGAAAGCCAACAAAAAAAAATAACAATATAAACAACCAAATTGAATGGAATAATAATGAACACTATGGATCGGTTAGAAAAAAAACCACACAATAAGAATAACATTGAAATGATAATAAACTTCTTTTTTTTAAATATTTTCTGGTTAAGCAATTCTTCCTTGAACCAATCTCAGCTATGTTTAAGTTCATAAATAGCCGGCACAGTTGTTGTGCTTTTATCGTTTCCGTGATTAGTATTCTTTTTTGATCTTCGTCGAATCTGAATTTTTAGATTCAATAAAAATGGTACATCAATAGATGGATCATATGACCAATGATGTATTGGATGATTATATCGATATGATGATGATGATGGCGGTGTTGATTGTGATGTTAAATTAGCAATGGTCGTAACTTCAGCAATAATGGATTTAATCCAATAACCCGATGGTAATGGTGGCAATGATGGTGGTGGCGGTGGTGGTGGTGGTGGTGCTGTGTGGTGGTGGCTGATGACCTTCAATTTTCGTTAAAAACAGGTACATGCAGGGTAATTTTATATTAAACTTTATTTATATTGAAAAAATCTGGAAGAATATTCTTCAATATGAAATTAGAATTGATAAATGATGAAAATAAAAAAAAACAAGAGATTTTGTTCCGCTTTTTTTGGTTGTGTTGGTGTCCTTTTACGATTCAATTCATATGAATTCGTTGTGAATGATGATGATGATGATAATAACAATTCATTAAGCAATGGTAGATGCTGTGGTTCATACAGATTTTTCTTTTTCAATGAAATTGATGCTAATGTCAATGAATGTTGTTTTTGTTGACAATGATGATGATGATGATGTTCATTTGATTACTGTAGATTGAATTGTGGATGTAAATATAATAATTCAATTTATTATTTATATATAGATTCGATTTCAAAACAATTCAATTGATCACTGTCGATTGATATTCAATTGTTTTTAATGATAAAATCATAATCATAACATAACAACATAATGAACATGAGAAAATAAGAGAAAAAATCGAAAAAATTTTATTTATGATTTTAATCTATCAAAATTAAAAAAAAGACCAAATGGGTAGTGAAACAAAAAAAAAACTTAATGAGAAATTCGTCATTGCCGTCTTTATTGAAAATTCTGGTTTTTTTTTACTTTTATTATTATTATCGTTGTTGGTTGTATTGGCAAAACAAAACAAAACAAAATAAAAAAAAACAATTGAAAACCACTGTAGTATTCCGTGATCTATGTCGTCATCATCATCATCATCATCAACAACATTAATAGCAGCAACAACAGAATTGCGCATGATATATTATTCTTATTTGAATAAATATAGTAGTAGAATATCGAATAATGATGTATAACTGAAGAGAAATGAAAATTCTATATATATAATTAAATACGGCATACGGCATTTTGGGTTTTCTTCATCATCAATGGAAACTATTTTTTTTTTCTGTATTCTAGAAATTTCTATCCCCGAATATATGTGCATGTGTGTGTGCGTGTAGAATTTTGTGTACAGGAATTGAATTCAACACTACTACTGCTGCTACTGCTGCTACTGCTTCTTTTACCGATTTTAGGGTATTCGGTAAACAATACCCAATGATGATGATGATAATAATAACGGCGACCTGATGCCCTTATTTTTTTTTATTATTATTTATTTCTTCCTTTATTATCATTTTATTCGTAATAGTTTTTCCTGAATTTCGGTGACATTTTCTTTTTTTCTTTGTTCTATTTATATTTTGTACCCAAACCAAACCAAACCAAACAAACAATTAAGTTTCAATATCACATGTGAGACCCAGTTAAATATATATAATTTTTATAATGCAATAAAGAGAGAGAGAGAGAGAAAAAATCGTTAGCCTTGAATATACACACATATAGTTAATATGGATTGAATGGAAAATTTTCATCAATGACAAATAAAATAAAACATCCTTGATGTATGTGTGTGTGTGTGTTATTCTAATCCTTTTTTTATTGTTGTTGTTGTTGTTGTTGTTCCTGGACAGATCAAACATACACATGGCACATGCTCAAAATATGATTAAAAAAAATGACAATGTCATAAGATTTTTGCAAAGAATTTTTGTTTTTATTTTTGTTCAATATGGCACAGTTTAATTAAATTTTTGGGGAAAAATTTTTTTTTTTCATTGAATTCCAAGAAAAATTGGAATTAATGATAATGAAAACACTATCAATATAGAATGGACCTATTCATTTTTTTGTTTGTTTGAAGAATTTTTTTTTTTTACAATAAACATTTTGAAAAAAACAGAACTATCGCGATACAATCGATATTATGGAATATTGAAAAAATAAAAACAAACCGAAATTGAGCCATCATCATCATCATCATCATCATTCGTGAATAATCATAATTTTCATTCTTTACTAAAATTTCGAAATAAAAAAAAAATCACAAAAATTCAATGCTCAACACATCGTATTACTGGGTGGACATGATTTTTTCGTTATTAATTGTATAATTGATTGATCGGCAAATTCAATCAATCAATCAAAATAAAAATGGCAAAAAATACAAATAAATTGAAAAGTTTATTCAGTGGAATCAATCGAACAGGTGAACAATTGATCAATTCAGTATTGAATAATACAAACAGTTCAATTAATTCATCTGAAAGTGATCTGATAAATCCATCGTTAGATGAAAAGGTATGTTGTTTGGTATTTTTGTTTTCTGAATGGTTAAATACTCCCATTTTTTTTGTATTATTGAAAAAAAAATTAGGAAAGAAGTCTAAGTATAGCATCATCGATAAATGGTAATGAAATGCTGTCAACATCATCATCATCATTGGCAACCGAAGCTGAAGGTTTTCTATGTCCACAATGTTTTGCTGCATTTCCAAATGCTGAAATATTGACTGAACATTTTAGTTCTGAACATTCAACATTTGGTGATCAGAATCTTTCTTTTGTCAATTGTAATCATTGTCGAATGCGTTTTACAAATGAATATGAATTAAATCAACATGTGGACAAATATCATAAAGAAAAATCACAAAAATCAGATGAACCATTAATCGCACAATTAGATCAATCAACTACAAAACAATTAACTGATTCATTTTCACAAGTATTGAAATCTGCCTTTAATAGTACAAATAATCGCCAACAAGATATGGAAAAAATGTTTACAATGGAAGAATTTGATCTACTACAACGGCAACAAAAAGCATTAGAAGAGACAAAAGATTTGTTACTAAATGAACTTTCATTATTACGAGATTCATTAGCAAAAAAAGATGAACAAATCAATCGTTTGGATAGAGATTTTCAACAAGAAAAACAATTACTTGTAACACAATTAAATGAAGCATTTCAACGAGAGAAAACCGTATTGGAAAATCTAAATACATACAAAGATCGAACAGCCAACAAAGATGATGAAATGAATCGATTGAGAAATGAAAATGAAAACCTTCGTACTGAACAGCAACGTTATAAAGATCAATTGAAGAAAATAACCGATGAAAAAATGCAACAAGAAAAATTGTGCCAAAAACTTCAAAATGAATGTGATTCAAATAGAAAAATTTTATTGGACATGACTAGTAAAACATCGGATTCATTATCGGTGATGACCAATGAAAAAACTGAATTGATGAATAAATTACAACAATTACAATTAGAAATGGATTCAATCAAGAAGCAGAATGAAGATTCAGAACGGCATATAAAATGTTTACAAATAAAAAATTCTGATTCATCTGAATATGGAAAACAATTGGAAAAAATTGAGCAGCTACGAAAAGAAGAATTGAATGATCATCGAAACACAATTAAACAGCTAAAAAGTGATAAATTAAAATATCAAAACATATGTCGTACTAGAATTGAAACGGTACGATCATTGTTACGTGCCGAACAGAATACGACGAAACAAATGCGCACAATATTGGAACAAACGCATAAATATATCGATAATGCAAATCAACAAATCAATCAATTTGTTCATGATGAATCTAAACGTAACAACGAATTAATGGAATGGAAAAATCAACAAATTCATCTATTAATCAAGGAAAAGGATGAAATTAGTTTAAAAATTCAACATCTTGAAGGAAAGAATTGTCAATTAAATGAAAAAAATTATCAACTTGAATCGCAAATCAATCATAATGAACAAGAACAATTGAAATTGAATGAAAAATATCAAAAGGTACTTGAAAAATTGAAAAAATCACAACAGCAAACAAATGAACATGAACAAATGATACATACATTAATGGATACGAAATCAACACTTGAAATGAATGTTGAGGAATTGAAATCAATGATGAACAAACAACGTGATGAATATCAACAAAAATCCGATAATCAAATTCAATCATTGAAGAAAATTAGTTCTGATATGCAGAAAATACGATATGCTGTCCAGGATAAATGTTTGACAATAAAATCATCATTGAATTGGTTACAGAATTCCTGTAAAGATTTGAGTGAAAATCTTAAAGATATAACAATTCCTGAAATGAAAACAAGTGTAGAATTATTGGAAAATGATTTCACTATATTGTTTGTCACTATTAAAGTAAGTAATTTGTTTTAATGGTTTTTTCTCTCTTTTTCACTGAATCGCTAATTCATTAGAATCATTATTCGGATAAAATTGATGCCTTAACCAAACAATTGGAATCATTAAAAAGTGAAAATCATGAAATAACTAAAATAATATTGCCTAATAAGCAGAATGAATTGGAAAAAATGATCAAATCGCAATCATCGTTGAAATCGCTGGTTGAATCAACTAAAAATGATTTGTTTGCTTTGCGTACAAAAGAACAGGAAAATCAAAAATTAATTGAACGATTACAGCAAACTAAACAAAGTTTATTGGCCGAAATTGAAAAGGAACGTGCTCGATTTGATAATGTACAAAAATATCATGATCAAGTATTAGGTTGGTATAATGACAATAATCATCTATTTGTTTCAATTCATCATTTATTATTATTGTAGGAGAAAAATTGAAACTAGAAATTGAATTGTCAACATTTATGGAAGAGAAACGAGCACTATTGGAACGTTGTGCAACGGCCGAAGAACAGCTTGAGGCGACAATAGTTGAAATGAAACAAATTGTTAAAAAATATGAAGAAAATTCTAAAGCAGTACAAGAATTAGGTGAACAGAATCAAACATTACAGATACGTTTAGATGAAGCGAATAATAAATTACGACGATCATGGACCGATGATCGTATGGTGGATAAATGTCAGAATGATAAATGTCAAAAACTATTTACGACTGTCATACGAAAGGTAATTATTATTTTTATTATTTTTGTTGAATTTTAAAAATTTTTTCTTTTTTGGTTTTTTTTTTGCTATTATTATAGCATCATTGTCGTAGCTGTGGCAATATATTCTGTAATGAATGTTCATCAAAACAAGCACAGATGACTGGACATCCAAAACCTGTTCGTGTTTGTGATCATTGCTATCAGGAGCTTAATCAATCTTGATTTGAAAATGAAAAATTTTTCATCAACAAAACAAAAACAAAACATTAATAATGCCCTTTTCATTCATTTATTTATTAATCATAATCCATTCCGTTAATGTGTGTATACACACACACACAAACATTTCACAAAAAAAAATTTCATTTGGATTCAATCGATGATGATGGTGGTGGTGGTGGTGAAAAAAAAATCAACGATCAATTACAAATTGATGAATTTGTGATTAGATTGAATGAAAACGTGTGCATTATCCACAAACAACAACAAGCCATATTTTCGGGTTCAATTTTTTTTTTATATATTTGTTTTTCTTTCTATATATAAATGTAAAGAAAATTCTTTTTCATTTAAAATTTCGTTATATGTTTCATCTCATTAAAAAAAAAAAAAAAAATTAGCTACAATAAAACGAGTTTTTTTTTGTAATGCGAATTTTTCTTATCGAAATACTTTATTTTGTTGTTGTTGTTACAAAAGTATTAAATGTCAAATCAGGGAAATAAAATTTTGGAACAGAGTACATTATTATTATTATTATGGTGGAGAATTTTATTTTCATTCCATTTTTGTTTTCTATCTATGACTTTTTGATTGCTAAAATGATGAATTCGGGGTTTGGTTCGAAATTAACCGATGACGACGACGACGATGACGACGACGATGATGATGATCATTATAAATCTAAACCATAAGCTGAATTCATATACACACCCACTATGTTAAGATATTAATCTAAAGAACCGATTGAATCTATGATTGAAAATATGATACCAACAACGACGATGACGACGACGACGACGACAAAGATAGGAAAGTGAAAAAGTCAAACGTACAATGGTGGTAAATAATCGATTCTCTTTTATTCAGGTGAATAAATTGATTTTTTTTTCGTTTTTCGTTTTTCCCGATTATTGGCTATTATTTATCAAATATCAAAGTTCATCATCACTTTCATTTTTTTTGTTTTGTTTTGTTTGTTTGTCATGATCAATTTGAAAGCACACGCAAATTGGCCGCAAACAAAATGCATTCAAAGGATTACGATGAAGATGAATGGTTGTCGATTCTCAATACATTATTGGTTGAATACCTTGATTTTTTTTCTTTCATTCATTGATTCGTATTTAATGTTTTTTTTTCTTTTGATTTGATTCATATGAATTTAATGAAAATGATTTCTCGGTTTTTTTTCTCTCCATTTAAAGTAAATTTATCTACAAGAAAAAGTCTGGAATTTTTTTTTCTCTGCCAATATAAACATGTCAATCTACTATGGATTCGTTTTTTTTTTTTGTTTTGTTTTCATGATGAGATTCTGATCATTACTTGTTTTTTTTTTTTCTTTTTGTCATACTATCATCATAAATTGTTTCATCATTGTATATCCAGTATAGCGGATATCGAAGAAGAAAAAAAAATGCAAAACACACGCAAATATGCAAAGACATGATTATTACCGTTTTAATTTCCGGTATATATATATATAGATATAAAAGAAAAAAAGTCCAAATTTGTAATACAATTATTATCATCGATATGAACTATAGTTTTATTTTCATAAATAAATATACAGTGTGTATGTAAAAAAAACGAAATACATAATTGCAAACACACAATATATACACAAAATTGTCACATAAAACGACAGATAGATAGACAGATAGATAGTGTATATATTGTAAACTGGATTGTTTCTATGATTTTCCATAAAAAAATAGAATATTCTGTTTTCGTATGAATTTGTTTGTATAGACAGCGACGACGACGACGAATTTTCTTTTCTTGTTTCGTGAAACATGAACATTCACAACAACAACAACAACAACAACAACAACAAACTGAATATGAAGAAAAAAAAAGTCTAGTGAACAAAAAAAAAAAAAAAAAAATACAACAATGTGTGAATAACAAAGCATAGAATCGAGTGTATGAGTGAATGAATGAAAATAAATTCTTATCGTAACCCACCACCCCCTCCTCCCCTCCCGCTAAAAAGAACCAATCCCTGATGAACTACAATTCCCATGGTGTGTGCGGCTTACTAAGTATAATCTTTGAAATATTTGCTCTTTATCTAAAGATGATTTGATGATGATTTGTTTGTTTGTTTGTTCATCATCATCACCATCATCACCAACAAGATTGATGTGAAAATTCCCGGTGTTATATCAGGTTTCATCATCAAATTTTTTTTCAAGTGTTCTATTCACCCTTTCAACGGTGGATTCATTTGATTCTATCAATCTAATAGAAAATTGTGAAGAAAAAAAAAATTATGAACGCCTACGTTATTATGAATGAATGAATGAATTTGTTCAAGATTCAAGCTGTTTTTTTTTCTTTTCATCCGTTCCTTTGTTGTTGTTGTTATTTTTGCATACACTTTTTCACCACCAACAACAACAACAACAACAATTTGTATATATCAATCATAAGAATGTTTAAAAAGTCTTTTTTCTTGATGCTCTTGACAATTCACTTCAAATTCAAATCGAGTCAAGAATCAAATGACAATTACTTTCATGTCAGCGAAACAAAAAAAAAAATTTTTCATTTCATCAATTCATTAGTATCATTGAAATGAAATGCCACACCAGAATTTGTACACAACAGGCTTTTCTTATAGTAAAAATGGTCCAGCATATAATAAGGATGATGATGATATTAATAATTACTATGTTTCAGACTTTATGAATAAATAGACAAAATAAAAAAAATGAAGAATAAAAATCTTATTCTGTAGCCAGAAAAAAAAAAAGACAGAATAAAAATGGCCAACCAGACGTCCTTTTTTTTCATTGTACTTATGATATTCTGATTGTTTTTCTTTTTTTTTTTTTTGTTTCTTGTCTATCTTATTTTCATTTTTTTCCCATCTATTTGATTCATTCGGATGAATAGATTTTGATTCTTTCTGGGTCTTAGTTTTCTGTGTGTGTGTGTGACATATATATGTACTTTCTGGCCAAATTGAAATACCGATACATCAGTGGGCGTGTATGTATGTTTGTGTAGATGCATTAACAAGATGATAGTAGTTATATTGGCTGCCGTCGTGGTGGTAAATGTTTGAACATCTACCATTCTTTTTTTTTTTTTTTTGTCTGGAACTTTTGAAGAAAGAAAGAAAAAAATTCTGCTTCATACCGCGCCTGTATGATACATGAACAAAAAAAAAAAAAAAGCGATACGTTAGTTTTTTTACTTTGCTTTCTTCCACATTCAACATTTAATAATGAAAATGTTGATGCTTGGTTCCAAAGACCATATACACACACACACACACACACACACACATACCAATGGCACACAATCCAATCAAATAAAAGGTCCAAACAGCAAAAGAAAACCAGTTATAGTCAAAAGTAGTACAAAAAAAAACAGAAAAAGAGAAAAAAATAATCGAGAAATAGCTGTAGAGAACCAAAAAAAAAAAAAAAAGATTCTGGATACCCCTAGGAC